ACTTAAATCGCCCCAAAAAATAATATAAGAAATAATAAAATTGACCCGTTTCCACTAAAACGTCTAAAAAATGTAAAAATAATAATAAAAAATTGACCTGTTTTCCAAATCGCCTAAAAAATATAAAGAAAATAATAAAATAATAAATAAAATCAACCTGTTTTCACCTTAAATCATCTGAAAAAACGTAAAAATAATAATAAAATATTGATCTGTTCTTCAAATCGCCTGAAAAAAATGTAAAAAATAATTAATAAAATCAACCTGTTTCCACCCAAATTGCCTAAAAAACATAAAGATAATAATAAAAAATCAACTCATTTCCCAAATCATCTGAAAAAAAACATAAAAATAATTAATAAAATTGACTCGTTCTTACTCAAATTACCTGAAAAATGTAAAGAAAATAATAAAATAATAATAAAATCAATCTATTCCCACTCAAATTGCCCAAAAAAACATAAATAAAATAAGAAAATAATAATAAAATCGACTTATTTCCACCCCAAATCACCTGCAAAAAATGTAAAGATAATAATAAAATCAACCTATTTTCACTCTAAATCACCTGAAAAAAATGTAAAGATAATAATAAAAAATCGTTCTATTCTCTAAATAGCCTGAAAAAAATGTAAAAAATAATTAATAAAATCAACCTGCTTTTACCTCAAATTGCCCAAAAATTTATCATTTATTACGAGATCGATTTACTTTCTTTAGCAGTGGATGAAATTCCCCTTTCAACTTTAGTATATTTCTCAGTTTCAATTACATATTCTTCTGCAGTTGTAACTTTTTCTTCAATCTCAGTATTGTAGACTATATTAGTTTGTACTTTATATGACCACTTTGGAGCATTATAAGGATATGAGGCCTTTGCAATAGAAAGGGAGGAAACTCTAAATAAATTAAAATTTTAGTTTATAAGCCAAAAATGTTCTAAATACTATAACTTGTTCAGATTTATTATTAACTTATTTTTTATTTTTTTTTGAGTTTCCTTCCTTTCTATTGCAAAGGTCCCATATGTTCAGTCATAATGCTATACATCATCATTGTATTTTTTTTTTCGTTAAATTTGAAATGATAATATTGCAGCAGCACAAGGATCAAGTATTTTTCTCAGTAAATTTTTCAGCTAAAAAAAAAAAATAAGAAAGAATATTAGTAGAATATATTAAATAAATTTGAAATATACTAAATTAGATAAAGAAAATAATAAACTTCAGCTAATCGTTAAGAATAGTTATATATAGCAATAATGGATCTTTAACGATTTTCTTCATCCATTTCGCTAATTTCTGATGAATGATATAGGTAATTAGTGAGAATTCAGAGTAAAGATCGCCTTTTGTATTTCATAATTCATTAGTCATTTTCTTTAAACAAATATTTTGTGGCTTTTACTCACTGAGCTGTTTTTTAATAAATAATAAATAATATTAAATTATTGATTCAAATAGATTTAAATTCAGAATATATTCTATTTGCTTACTTCATGTACTCGATTATTATTATGAATTTGTCGTAGCTCTAAAGGGCCCTTTTTACTTTTCTTAATTCTTTGAGTTGACCGACGTGACTTATAGAGGGTTTTCAGCCTGTTCATAAGTTGATAAATAAAAGGCTGAAAATTCAGAGTCAAGGACTTTCATAATTCCAAAATCAGATTATCAGTATTTTTTTCACTATTGAAAGGTTCATCATAGTCCAAATTGTCCTTTGAGCTGATAGTTTTCAAAATCACTTTCATTTCGGCCTAAATTTGAAAAGCAGAAAAAAATCAGCTAAAAATTTAAATTATTTAGACATAAATTCAAATATACCTTAGCTTTCTTTATGTTAGCTTCTTTTGTTATTGAATTATTATCATCCTCAGAATTATTTTGCATTAATTTTAATTCATTATTGGTATAATGCATTGGCTTTTTTTCCTTTGATTTTGATAATAATTTTTCGATTTTTCTTTATTTTACAAGAGGATCAGCATTAGACTGCTTCAATGATCTAGGCAGTTGTAATCTCTCAAATCAGTCAAGTCTTAAATATTAAAAAAGAAAAATTAGTTATTGTAAATATAAGATATTAATATATAAATTTTTACCTCTCCTGTAAATCTTCATTTTCCTTGACGAATTTATTGTTTATTTCGACAAAAAATCAGTTTTCCTCAAGAGATCAGAATTTTGTCGCTTCAATTTCTCAATTTTCTTGGTAAATTTAGCAAGTTTTTCTTTTAATATTCGATTCTTTATGTAAGAATAAAGAAAATATATATTATATTGATACGGTATTTAATAAATTACACAAATATAATATTCAAAAAAAAACAAAAAAATTTGAGAATTAATACAATTACAAAAGCTATTACTCAATGAATATTAAATCACATAAGACAAAAATTTATATATATGTAAATTCGGATATATAGAACATTTTTACTTAATACACAGTAAGCAATTTACTTTAACCAAAGTGATCAAATTATCTTATGAAATTAAAAAAAAGGTTTGTGATATTAATAAAGTTACAAAAACACATATTAAAATATGAATATTAATTCAATTGAGATTAAATTTTATATGCAAATAGTATCACACCTGCTGAATAACTTATACTTAGAAATAAAAAGTGATTGACTTTGACCAAAGTGTTCAAATTTTCTTGTGAAGTTAAATAAGTGTAACTTATTTAGTAAAGTTACAAAAAAAAATATTTCTACATGAATATATTAATTCAGTCAATATAAAACATTAGATATAAATAGTATAGAATCTGTTGAACAACTTTCACTTAGAGGTAAAAGGTGATTGACTTTGACCAAAGTGCTCAAATTATCCTGTGAATTAAAAAAAAGGTTCGTGATATTAATAATGTTACAAAAACACATATTACAATATGAATATTAATCAAATTGAGATTAAATTTTATATACAAATTGTATCGAACCTGCTGAGAAACTTTCACTTAGCAATGAAAAGCGATTGACTTTGATCAAAGTGTTCAAATTTCCTTGTGAAGTCAAAAAAGTGTGACTTATTTAGTAAAGTTACAAAAAAAATTATTTCTACACAAATATTAATCCCATCAAGTTAAAACATTAGATATAAATAGTATCAAACCTGCTGAACAACTTTTACTTAAAAATGAAAGGTGATTGACTTTAACCAATGTGCTTAAAATTTAGGCAATAAAAACCATTGTGAGTTTAAAGTGAAATTTACTAGTTGAAATTGTAAAATAAACAGTAGTATTCATGTATTTTTTATGCAATCTTAAAATAAAAATATTTTGCACTTTAAAAAAATGTGCAAAGAATTTATTTAAAGAAAATGACCAACGAATTATGAAATACAAAAGGCGACCTTTACTCTGAATTCTCAGTGATCGCCTGTACTATTCGCTAGAAATTAGTGAAACAGATGAAGAAAATTGTCAAAGATCTGTTATCATTATATATAACTATTCTTGGTGATCAGTCAAGATTTATTATTTCTTTATTTAATTTAGCATATTTCAAATTTATTTAGTATATTTTACTAATATTCTTTCTTATTTTCTTCTTTTAGCTGAAAAATTTACTGAAAAAGGTACTTGATCCTAGTGCTGCTACATCATTATCATCTCAAATTCAATAAAAATGAAAATATAATGATGATGTGTAGTATTATAACTGGTCACATTTCTTCAACACTTTAAAATGGTCATATAAAGTACAATCTGATATGGTTTATAATACTAAGATTGAAGCAGACGTTATAACTGCAGAAAAATATGTAACTGAAACTGAGAAATATACTGAAGTCAGAAGGAGAGTTTCTTCTGCTATTGAAAAAAGTAAAGATGATTTCATAATAAACAAAAATAATGAATTTTTAGGCGATTTGAGGTGAAAGCAGGTTGATTTTTTATTATTTTTTACGTTTTTTTCAGGTGATTCAGAGTGGGAACAGGTTGATTTATTATTATTTTTTATATTTTTTTTGAGTGATTTAGGGTGGAAACAGATTAATTTTATTAATTATTTTTACGATTTTTGAGCAATTTAGGGTGATAACAGATTGATTTTATTATTATCTTTATATTTTTTCAGGTGATTCAGGGTAAGAACAAGTCAATTTATTAATTATCTTTACATTTTTTTGGACAATTCAGGGTGAGAATAGATCAATTTATTATTATCTTTAATTTTTTGGATGATTTGGGATGGAAGCAGATCAATTTTTATTATTTTATTATTATCTTTACATTTTTTTGGGCGATTTTAAAAGGAATGGATCATATTTTTATCATATGGAAGGCAGTTAATAGAAAAGGGAGAAATCTACAAATTTTGAATAATTTTAGTTATTAAGCTAGTTTTGTTTACATGACCATGATCAGTAGAATGAACCAATAAAAAATTTTTGACTAAAAAGTGAATTTCCTCTTTTTTACTAACTGCCTCCTATATATTATTTATTTATCTATATTTAGGATGATTTTAGAGATTTTAGAAGAAAATGTGTCATATTTTATTATTTTATATTCTATTTTAATAGGAAATTAATTAATAGATTTTAGTGATATTTTATTATATTTTTTGCAAATTTATATTAAGTTTTTATTATTAATAAAATTTTAATATTTAATTTGTGATACGTATGTTGATCAGTGATTTTAATATATAAATGTGGGGATAATTAACATATATGTTTTGAACGTTCATTAGAATCTGCTATTTCTCTTTAGCCTAATTCTTTACCACATGTCAAAACACAAAGAATATACAATTTTATTAGTTTCTCGTAATATTTAAAATGAAAGTTTACATTTTAAGTCTTTTTGTCATAATTGGTAATTTTTCCAGCCTGTTGATAAAACAAATGATATTATTTTACTTTATCCAATTCAGTTGCATTTTAAAATATTAGTCATATTAAATGAATGTGAATTTATTACAGAGGTAGTTTGAATTGACTCTGCTTTTGGCCTATACCCTGGGTATATTTGTAAGTGTAATGAGGTTAAAAGTGGGTATATGAAACAATAACAGTAACTATTTTTTTAGTATATCACATTCTTTTTAAAACAGGTACAAAAATTCCAGATTCAGAAGTTTTGGGATTTGATATAATAATTATTACAAATGAATTATTATCAGATTTACCATTTTGTCTTATAATTTTTAACTTGGGAGCTTTCAAATTTGAATAATAAAATTGGATGCTCTGTTAAAATTATAACTAATTTAGTTAGCCCTGGATTTAAGTCAGCTTTCATATACCAATATAAGAAAAGCGGGCTTTATTTTATCAAGAAATAGATGAATACTATTGCAAAATAATAATATTTTATAGATCTGACATACACATGACCTTTATTGATCAAAATCCAGATTTAGTTTAGTTAAGAATCAGAATACTACAATAATATGATGGAAAGAAACTTTTTAGACTAATTAATCAGTATATCAAAGACCTTATACAAGCAGCTCAAATTTCATCTTGTATCTTGAATGAATGATATAATAAAGAGGTGATGACCAATATATATAATTACCATCTTAAATATCATATATTAGCGGAGATAGATTGGCACTATTTTTTTTGTAATTAGTTAGAGTAGCCAAATACTATTATAGAATTAAAATCAACTTTGCAGCTGCTTTATCCAACAGAATATGAAATTGGTGATTGGGAATTTTGAGCTTGAAAAGCAATGCTAAAAAATGTTAGTTGTTTTGATGTTACTCTATATAATAAAAATCAATAAGAGGTAAGTTTTATTTCAATAAATATTATGGTTTACATATATAAGCTTAACTGTCAAAAATTGTTTTTATAGTTTGAGTTTTGGTCTTAGTCTACCACTCCAGACAAAGATAAAAATTCTCTGATTGTATTATATGATCTTAGATTTATTATATCAACTCCATCATACTTTGCAAACACTTTTTAGAATTCTTTTTGCAATTTTTTAGATATCAATAAATGTGGTATTAATGAATATCAACGAGTATTATCTATAATTGCTAATGATTTTAAATATAAAGATATTAAAAAAAATTATGTGTGAGTAGTCAGTTTGCATTTAATATAATTGATTATTAATCCTACTTTTCTTATTAAGCCTATTATTTCTATTAGATTTCAAATGATGCGATTTGTGCTATACGAAAGTATGTTTGTCTTTATGGTTCTAGGGGATTAATCACTAAAAAACCTATAATTAGACATGAAAAAATGTCAGTAGAAAAGAATGTACAATTACAAGCTTTCCTAACAGATAAAGCTAATGTTATAATAAGTTCATACAAAATAGATTCCATCACAAATGAACTAATACATTACCTAAAAAACTCGAAAAATATACTTTAGAATAAATTTCATGAGAAATACTCAGATGGAATGTGTCGCACTAGCTTTTATACCAAGTTTGCAGAAAATAAATATATATATTGAGAGGATTTGGGCAGATTATATCATACATATTCACAATATGGTTACGAAATTTTTTCAGATCTTACCTTATTAATTCAAAAAAAGTGATAGAAGTTATAATTCAGATATGTAAGTATTCAAAATAAATTTATATATTAGATAATTACTAATACATACTTATTGATTCTTATAGAAACAATTGTTATTAGAATGTGAAAATTGAAACATTTTTTTAAACATGATTATGAGTAGCATTTTCATATTATACCATATAAAATAACCTTTCATGATACTTGTATCAATCATTATCTTTTATATGCATTTAGACAATGTAATGAATTCCATACTCGAACTTGCAATGATTGTCAGACCCTTTTCCAATTTTTTGATATATTGATTACTAATACTAATATTTCAGATCATGAGGAATTAGAAGATTTGTGTGATCATCTGCTTTATTATTTAACTCACTAAACAAGAAAAGTGTATCTAAATGCACAATTTAATGCCAATTTATTAAGTTTGAATGAAAAGATCGCTTTAATATTAGTAGATTATAAGATGAAAATATTATCTAAATCAGCACGAGAAATTAAACAAGATTGGTTTGGTAAAAAAGGTTAGTCTCTTCATTCAATTCTTGTATATATCACTCAATCCAACTCGACAAAATTACGTATTTAGGTATTTGATTATTAGTCTGCAGATATACGTCAGGATTCATGATTTACAGTATCTTCACTCTATGCAGTAATAGAAGTATTAGATCCAAAGCCTGAATCAGTAATTATAATATCTGATAATAAAGGTCATTATTATAATACCGATCTAATGATGAATGGGATATTGGTCAGAATGGCATAGAATTAATGTAAATAAATGGGTTTTTTTGGAAGCAGGAAAAGCAAAAACTACTATTGATTCTCATTATGTACAGGTATGATAAAACTATTAGCAAATTTACTTATATAATTCTATATCTATATATTGACATCTTTTATAATTGAATTAGATATCACATGCAATCAATTGATATATTTATTTAGATTTTGATATAGTATCAGGATAAGATATTGAAAATGCGATTAAAGAAATTAAAGGAACTTCTGTTGCAAACCTAAATCCTAATTGGGATAGAGGTGATATAACTAGTAAATAAAATTTGTAAGTTATTTATTAATAAGAAATTTTATATTGATTTCAAAATAAATATAAGTAATAGAAATAATACATTACCCAGAAATTCTAATTGGTTTAAATGGTAATGGCCAACAGGAGAGTTTTCTGGATGTATTAAAGCATGAGATATTCCTAGTATAGGAGAATAAAAGGTTTTTACTGTAACACAATTAGACAAACTTCATAAAAAAAATATTAACAAATCCAAATCACAAGTATCAATGTATACTATAATATCATCAGAATAGAAAATATTAATACCAAATCCATCACATTGTCAGCGTTGAAAATTTTCTCTAGAAAAATGATTTACAAAGTCATTAGATTTAATTTTATATAGATCATATTAAGGAAGATTTTGATCTACATATTGCATTAGAAAATCAGGCTAATTTATTTAATTTGAAAGATTTACAAAATTTACCTGATTCGCCTGTTTCTTCTGTATTTTCTATATAGTCTGTTTATTCTGTTTATTCTGTTTCGTCTATAATTTCTTTAACATCTGTAATTTATTTTATTTCTTTTTATTATTTTTATAGTTTACATTATATTTATTATTTT